CGCGAGCCTCTTCTGCCCCGCTCCCCGTGAGGTCATCAGGCTTAAGCGCTGTAGCGGCTGCGTGTGCCAGGCCACCCGCGGGGGGCGCGGAGTTGGTCGTGCGTCGCGGTATGGGACAGAGCGGCCGCCCCTCTTTCAAGGGGGCGGCGCGAGAGGCGCAAGGGCGCGAAGCTGCGTGTTCCAGCGTGCGTAGGATCTCAGAGTGAGCCAGTGAAGGGGCCGACTCGTTCCCACAGAATCTGACCCTGCCTCCACAATAGGCGCGGCGCTGGGAATCCAGAGCTCTCGACCCCGTCTGCACACAAGGATGTTGCCCAGACGCACGGAAAGCATGCCCAGACGAGCGCACCACCACCGTCAGTTGTCTGATCAAGCCGGGAGTTAGGCGAGGGTTGTATCTTCAGGCTACACGTTTTCGACCAAGCGGGTTGAGGTTGCAGCAATTTGATGCCCTAAGATTCGCCGATGTTTGCGATGCATGTGTTGGACCTACGTTGTGGCACGCTCTTATTCCAACTGGCAACTTACTCGGCTATGCCAAGGGGCGGGGGTCTGGTGGGAGGAGGGGGGTGCCTTCCCTTGGGGTCTGTTGATAGTAAGCTGTTATGTATGACACAGGGGATATGCCCTGACGTGGATGCCATCATAAGCTATGATGACCTTGGATCTGGTTTGGGATGATCTGCAGTGGCATGCCAAGCGGAGCTGCGTTTTGCTTGTGCTGTGCTGCGCTGTGCCATGGTGTGGCTTGGTAGGCTATGAGTTTGCATGCCATGCTGTCGTAGGCTACGTCATGGAGATATTCGCTGTATGCTGTTCTGTGCTGAGCTGATCTATGGCTTGCACGGGGAGCTGGCGTAAACAGATGATATGGTTTGCCACCGCATGCTATGCTAGGGTGTGCTGCGATCTGTAACGCCGTACCATGCTATTACGATCACAAACGCATCAGATATCGGCGGATATTCTTGAGTGGAAGGCGAGACTGACGTGTCGCTTACCTGCACGGCGTTCTTCCAGTCCATGCCCCCCAGTGTGGCCGAGTTTTGATCGATCGGGTTCATTCTGACAGGACATCCTTGTGGGTTCAAGTCGCCCTCAGGTCTTGTTTGTTTGTTCCACATCTTCGCAATCCTCTTGCCCTCCCCTGGTGGCGCCAATTGATTCTTGTGGAGCGTATCTGCCGTCCTACCTGCCTAGGAGTTTTTCTCGTAGCACCGCGCCTCAGCAGGGGTGGCGGGGGGCGAGGGTGCTGGCCCGCGGGTCGCCTGTGAGGTTGGCTTGTCGCGCCCGCCTGCCGCGCCCGCCTTTGCCTTGCGGCGCGCTTCTGCCGCGCCCGCCTTTGCTGAGGCAATCTGGGGGAAGCTTGTGCTGACCCGGCGGCGGCCCTGGCCCCGGCCCGGAATCAGACGCCATGGAATGATCCGCGCTATCGAAAGAAGCGCCAGCGTTCAATGCGGAGCGAGGCACGCGGGGTCAGGAATTGGCGCGCCAGTCGTCATGACGTGTACCTATCGTGCACGGGCACGTGATACAGATGTAGTCGCCAACAGCGCCGCGAGCACTGCGGTCACCTTCTGAGACGTCGTTGGGTGCCAGCGCCATTCCCCACTGATGGTTCCAGTTTTGCATCGATGTAATCCCTGCGGCAGGGGCATATTGTCCTTGGCATGTCTTGTTGCTGCCGCCTCTGAACTTCGAGCGCCGTGCGATCGCAAGCCCGCTGTCAAATGCGGATGTCGCCTCGGCGCATTGGGACACGGAGCCAAAACTAGAAGGGAAAGAATCCAGGGCTGGACCTAAACGTTGTTTTGCTGGACTTCAGCTGTGTTTTGTTTTTCGTTTTGGCAGGGAGGTACAGGAAAACAGGGAGAACATAACGAAACACACAGCGACAACAAAACGAAAAACAACGTTTAGGTCCAGCCCTGAAAGACACCATGAACCGAATGGAGAGGCGCCGCCGAGCCACGGACACCAGTAATGGCACGGATCCGGTTGTCGTCGATCCGCCCAGGCACCGCAATTGCGCAGAACCGTGACCAAGAGTGCGCAGTCTCGAGGTGTGGCGAGGCGCCGAACGCAAGACGGCGGAGGAAGGGCCAGAGGAAGCAGCAGGCAGCGAAGCTGCAGCAAACGCTGCAAACTTTGTTGGGCCAGACTGCCCCAATACGCGTACACGGCAGGAGGCAGGTTGACAAGCACCACAGGAAACCGCGCCGCCCTGCGCTTGCAGCATGCCCCAGGGCCCCAGGGCGCGGCACAGGTCCAACAGAGGTTCCAGAGGAGACGCTGGGGACCTTTCCCCCCCCTGGAGTTTGCTTTGGTTCGCCGAACCCGTAACGTCCGTTACGAGGGGGTAGCCGACCCCCCCACCTGTAACGGCAATGAATGTACGGGGGAGGGTCCCGCCCCCCCCACAGCGATGGCGCCGTGACCACGGACGTGTCGTCGTCGTCGTCTTTGTCGTCGTCCTTGTCGTCGTCCTTGTCGTCGTCGTTGTTGTCGCCGTCGTCGTCGTCGTCCTTGTCGTCGTCCTTGTCGTCGTCGTTGTTGTCGCCGTCGTCGTCGTCCTCGTCCTCATCCTCGTCGTCGTCGTCGCCGTCGTTGTCACCGTCTTTGTCGTTGTGGTCGCCGTCGTCGTCGTCGTCGTCGCCGTCGTCGTCGTCGTCGTTATCATCGTCCCCGTCCTCGTTCTTTTTCTCGTCGTCGTTTGTCGGCGTCGTTATCATCGTCATCCTCGTCGTTCTCGTCGTCGTCGTCCTCGTCGTCGTCGTTGTCGTCATCGTTGTGGTCGTCCTGGTCGTCATCGTCGTCGTCGTTGTCGCCGTCGTTGACGTCGTCATTATGGTGGTCGTCATCGTCGTCGTCGTTATCATTCTTCCCCGTCCTTGTCCGCGTCCTCGTCGTCGTTTGTCGGCGTCGTTATCATCTTCGTCGCGTCCACTGCCTCGAAGAGCTTGCAGATGCTTCCTGAGGCCTCTGGAGACCTTTGTAGACCTTCAGGGGCGCCCGTCGTCGTCCTTGTCGTCGTCGTCCTGGCCCTCATCCTCGTCCTCGTCATCAGTCGTCGATTCCGAGGCGAAGAGCCCCAGACGTTTCCAGAGGCTTCTGGGAACATCCTGAGGCGTTTGGAGATCTTCGGAGACCTTCAGAGGCGGCCGCCGTCGTCGTCATCGTCGTCGTCGGTCGTCGGTTGTCATCGTCGTCTTCCTTGCTTTCGTCCTCCTCGTCGTCGTCATCGTCGTCGCCGTCGTCCCCATGATCGTCCTCGTCGTCGTCTTTATCGTCGTCGTAGTCGTCGTCGTCCTTGCTCCCGTTCTCGATATCGTCGTCATCGTTATCGTCGTCGGCGTTCTGAATGGCGATCTGTTCAGATATTGAAATTCAGTACTAAAGAAAGATAATGTTTCATTGATTGATTTACTTTGGTGTGTATATATATATATTATTATTGAGAAAGGATTACTTTCCTCGCCACGTCGATCAGCGCCCACCATCACTCATTCCTAAGCGTTTGTTGATCCCGCCTCATCAAGTTTTGCTGGCATTTCTTTTCCAAGTGCTCCAGCTCGACTCGGCTCTGACTGCATTGCGCCTGAATCCGAATGCAACAAATTCTGTCGTAGCTTACATTGGCAATCCCGTGCCGCAGCGCGCCTGCTCTACTTCCTCAGGGTTCCAGGTGCACCTGGACTCCCCGCGATTTCTTTTCACGCTTTCTCAGGACCCGTCCGGGTGCATTTGGATTCTTCCAGAACCTCCAGGGTTTCTGAGGGATCCCGCGGACTCGTCGGGGATTTTTTCAAATTCTGAGTGCCCCGTTGAATTCCACAATGCCCCGCAAGATACCCATGGGGCACTCAGACCACCTCGAGGTTTTTCCAAAGTTCCCAAGGACTCTTCGGGATACTTCAAGAACGTGTTTCGGGCAGTTTCAGATTCAGCAGGATCCGTTCGGTTTCCGCACCATTCCACATGGCTCTCTCGGAGGAGATCCTGGTTCCGCAAGAGTCTTCCGTGTTCAAGAGGATTCATCCGGATTTTGTTAGATCCCGTTGTTTTCTCCAGGTCTTCACAACGTTTTGTTGGTTTCCTCATACCCCTCAGGATTCCAAATGAGCTCTTGACTCTTCGCGTATCCCTGCCAGCCACTTCAGAAGCGATGCCCACAGACGGGAAACATGGGGAAGAGACACACGTAGTGATCCACCGCGGGCAAGAAGATTGAATTGACAGATCTCTGGGTGCTCGGTGTGTCGGTGCTGCTGCTGCTGCTGCTGCTGCTGCTGCTGCTGCTGCTGCTGCTAGTGTTGATCCTGCTGCTGGTGCAATTGCGCTTGCTGCTGCTGTTGGTGCTTGCGGTGCCGTCTGCTGCTGGTGCTGCTGGCTCTGCTGCTGGTGCTGTTGATGCCGCTGCTGCTGGCATTATTGCGGTTTGCGTTGCTGCTGGCTACTGCTGTTGCGCTGTTGCGGGTGGTGTTGCTGGCGATGTTGTTATTGTTGCTGGCGCTGCTGCTTTTGCTGCTGCTGCTGCTGCTGCTGCTGGTGCTGCTACTGCTACTTGTGCTGCGACTGCTGCTGGTGGGTCCTTGTGGGATTTTTCCAAACCATTCTGCGGTGGTGGTCCTCATTTTGAAGGGACAGCGCCCCGCGTTATCCTTCCTTCCTTCCTCCTCCCCCTCCTCCGCTCCTCCCTCCTCCCCACTCCCATCTGGGCACGCCACTCATACGTTTTGTGACCCCATAAGGAGCTCGACCAAGGGCCCTAGTGGCTGCGTTCGCACTCAGTTCCATTCAAATTTCGGCACACTCCTCACGTGTCGTGGCCCATAGGGGGCTCCACCGAAGGCCCCTGTGGCTGCGTTCGCATGCGGTTCCACTCCCATTTCGGCACACCCCTCGAACGTTTCGTGGCCCCACGGGGAGCTGCACCGAAGGCCCCACCGGCTGCGTTTGCATGCGGTTCCACCCGCATTTCGGCACGCCCCTCACACGTT